CCAGCATGCTGGCATGATCCATATGATATCTGCGCCTTGCCGATGGGTATATGTTTCATCCAGCAAGATCTGAAGTCATCACAGTTCTCCAGTGGAGTTGGTCAAGGTCATTTCCAGCCCTTTGTTGATAATCCGCAAATTTTGATCATTATGATACAATGACATAATAAGGAATGCCGCGTTGTGCTACGTTCAATCCTTGTGGACATTCCCCACTGCCATTTTGTACTATCCTTTTCTTTCTTCACCCTTGGTAGAAGCCAACCCAACATCACCGGAAAGGCTAAGTCCATGAATTAAAAGGTCAGGATGTTGTACAATGAATGGCTCGAGTGAGAAACCATGTTCTTTTTTGATTGGTTCCTGTTTCTGGTAGAGACAAGAAGCATCGAAGATTGAGCCAGAACTATTTTCACACGTTATTTGATTTACATTATGTACGCGTATCTAGATGCCATTTTCATTAAGAAAATGTGCAGTACATACATGCTCGCATACATACATACATGCATACATACATACATACATACGTACGTACGTACATTACATTAAATTACATACATACATCCATACGTATGTACGTACCTACGTACATGCATACATACATACATGCATACATGCATGCATACATCCATCCATCCATCCATCCATACATACATACATCCATACACACATCCATCCATCCATCCATCCAACCATCCATCCAACCATACATACATACATACATACATACAAACGTACGTACGTACGTACGTACGTACGTACCTACATACACATACACATACACATACACATACACATACACATACACATACACATACACACACACACGCATACACATACAACATATATGCATGCATGCATACATACAGGCATACATAGATACATACATACATACATACATGCATGCATACATACATACATACATACGTACATACATACATACACACATACATACATACATGCATACATACATACATACATACATACATACACAAACATACATACATACAGACAGACAGACAGACAGACAAACAGACAGACATACATACATACTTAAAAACATGCGCTCAGTATGTTTCAACGTGCTGCATATTACATGACACTGCACTCAGTCTTTTTGAAGTTTACATGGCATTATAATACGTCTACCATACATTAAATTTTTAAACATCACCTCACAATCACCTCACGCCCAGGCCAAGCATACATACGCACGTACGTACCTACATAAAATTCAAACAAGGATGCATACACCGTGTGCGTCCAAACCCTATTCTGTATAGGCCCTCGGAGAAAGACCTAAACAGGAATCGTGGAACCTATCCAGGAGGAGGGTGCTGCAGCAAGGGTTCAAGATGCGCACGGCCAAGAGACATATTATTTTGTTCACTATTCTCACAAATTCTTGAAGAGAAGCATCAAAAATATATTTTGATATACAATGTATGCACAACGTCAGACCTGACCGTGGACAAACCGCGTGTTTGTTTTTCCCAGGGCTTGGAAACGCATATCTACGGCGTACACACCAACATGGACAGGGGGTACTAGAATTTTCACCCCCCAAACAATGGGCAACAATTTCGGCTTCAATCTGGATTTTCTTTAAGACGCAAGAATTCAAAAACAGACAGTTTTAAGAGGTTGAAGGCTATTATTTACTCGGTGGCAATTGTGGTTTTTAGGTGAAGTCCTTTTCCCGGATAGCATCGCATCTCAGAATGGCATACCATGCCATCTTAATCCACCCCATGCACTACCCTACCATGTATGCAGACATTACGCACAGTACACACACATATACTCACTAAATACGGTGCGTGCATGTCAATCACCAACAAAAAACATGGTGTATTTAGATCCTTGCGGGCAGGGCGTCCAGAATCCATGTTTTTTGGATCGAAATGTAGCAACTTTTATGCTTGGTATGTTTTAGAAAAATACCAGTCAAAGGAAGTTTTGCAGAGAAGATCTGAGTTGCGGAAAGTGACCAGTAGCATTGCCCAAAAGACCATTAAGTCCAGTTGGCACGTTCCTGAAGTAGAGAAGTAGCTCCATAGATCAAGTCCAGTTGGCATGTTCCTGAAAAGTAGAGAATTAGCTCCAAAGATCATGAAGTCCAGTTGGCATGTTCCGGAAGCAGAGAAGTAGCTCAAAAGACATTGCCGTAGGATAGAGTCAGGTAGGGTAGAGTAGAGTAGAGTAGAGTAGAGTAGAGTAGAGTAGAGAGGAGAAGAGTAGGGTCGAGCAGCATAGAGGGGACAAGAGAAGCGCAGACCAGAGAAGAATAGAGTGGAAGAGGATCGCCTTGGCACTGCCACATCGAAGATGAGCTTTGAGTGGTAGGATTTGCGCGAGACATTTTTTTCCGGGTAAACGGCTGTTCCGGTGGAGGGTTGGCTCGCTTGCCGCTTTGGATTCGAACCCTGCTCGATCTGCGCGCGCACTGTACCTGAGGTCTTGGTGGCCTTTTTGTCTCATGTTGTTGACGCTGTGCCATGCTACTTTGCAGCTGTTGAGGTGCTTTATGTATTGGAACTGCTGCATCAAGGCTACTTGTTCTTGAGCAAATGTGTTGCGCTTCTATTGTGTTTTGCAACTCGCTATTGGAACTCTGCTACAGCATTTAGCTGTTCGGATTTGTACGAAACCTTATGTTTTTTCCGGCAAGCGGGAGAAAAGATGGCTCGCTTGCGCGACGGTTTCGATGCTTTGAATTTGAATCCTTCTCGATCTTTGTGCGCACTGTAACTATAGGGTCTCCAGGTGACTTTTTGTCTGTTATTGCTGACGCTGTGCTATGGTGTTTTGCACCAGGAGGCTTCGAGTCGCATGTTACTTAGGCCTTTGGAGTAGATATGGCATTTGGATTCGTAAGGTGAAATAAAACTTCGAGCGTGAAACTTCACGAGTTTTAACGGCATTTTAACAGAGTAGTAACGGCTTCACAGGTTTTCAGAAAAGGAGAGGTTGCATTTTCACGGAGTAGATGTGGCATCAGAGATGCAGCCGAGTGGGCGAAAGTAACTTGGGACTTGGAGCCTCTTGGCAAGTCAGTCTCTGCAGATTGCAGTGGAGTGGCTGCGTCAAGGTTCCTCGCTGCTGCGGCTGCATGCGTACAATGATTGTCTTTTGCAACAGAGAGTCGTACATCTTATTGAAGTGCCTGCATCAAGGTTGCGATGGTGATGTGTCCCCAGACTTTTCTCCATTTTGGTGTTCATGAGATTTTACCTTTTAAAATTCCATTTAAAAAGTGCCCCAAAATCAGCTGAAAGGCGTATATCGTATTGTCGGCTGCATCAAGGTTGCCGTGGTGATCTTTCAGCGATTTTCCTCCATTTTGGCGCTAAGAATTTTCCCTTTAAACATCCTTGTAAAAAGTGCCTCATCCTTTTTTTCGAAATCCAGTTTTGGAGCTTCAATTTCTGTTGCGGTTGCGCGTAGTTTTTGCCATTCGGTCTCTGCAGCTGCTGTGTGTAATATTATTGTCTTTTGCAACTGAGAGTCGTGAATCGTATTGAAGTGGCTGCATCAAGGTCGATGGTGGTGATTCCACAGATTTTTCTCCATTTTGGCATATTTTGGCGCTGGTGATTCCTTAAAAAAAATCCTTGTGAAATATCTTTCATTTTTTTCCCTTTGGTGCTGAGATCCCTTTTTGGAGCTGCAATTTCTGCTGCCGTTTTGTACGTGAAGGCTTCTCTGTGCAAAAGGTTTGTTCTTTGTGTAAAAACTTCTCTGCGTAGAAGCTTTTCTGTGTAGAAACTTCTTTGTAAAAGCTTCTTTGTGTAAATGTTTCTCGGCGCGCAAGCTCTGTGTAAAGGCTTCTATGTGCAAAAACTTCTCTGTGTAAAAGCTTCTTTGTGTAAAAGCTTCCCTGTATAAACTTTTGTGTGTAAAAGCTTTTCTGTGTAAAAGCTTCTGTGTGTAAAAGCTTTTCTGTGTAAAAGTTTCTGTGTGTAAAAGTATCTGTGTGCAAAGGCATCCGTGTGTAAAAGCTTCTCTGTGTAAAATCAAGACAAAGTGACAAGGAGACGGGGAAAAAAGGGTTGAGAACGGTGGAAAAAATGAGGAGGTTGAGAAGAGCTGAGAAGAGGCGGGGATGAGTTGAGCAGAATTCAAAAAAGCAGGGCTGGGAAGAGCTGAGAAGAATGGGGGAAGAGCTGAGAAGAGTTGACAAGAGGTGAGAATAAATGAAATGAGTTGAGAAGAGGCGAGAAGAAATCAGAGGAGTTGAGAAGAGCTGGCACAGGTCAAGAAGAGATTAGAAGAGGTGGGTGAGGTGAGAGTCATTGGGAAGAGTTGAGAAGAGGTGGGAAGAGTTGAGCTGAGGTGGGGAGAGGTGAAAAAACTTGAGACTCAAGAGCGGTTGAGAAGAGTCGTGGGAATAATTGAGAAGAGCTGAGATGGCCCGAGAAGAGCTGCGAAGAGCTGAGAAGTGGTGGCCACAATTTAAAAGGGATGAGGCAAGATGAGAAGATTTGAGGTTCCACTCCAACTCCGACAGACAAACTTGTCTTTCACTCCTATGGTATAAAATTCCTTGCTGCTGGAAACTTCCGCCACCCGCCTCGTGCGGGTTCTACTTGTATGTTTTCCATTCTTAGCATTGATTTGGAAGTAATTTAAATGGTTGTTTCCCACACTTATTTACCTTTGATGTATTGCTGCAAACAAATTTTGTTTGTTAATTTTCAGCAGCCCCCGAAGAACGCGTTTCGGAGTCAGATACATGCTCGTATGTGTGTTTTGTTTTTGTTGCATGGGTGCATATGCATGTATGCACGTATGTATCGGTCAAATCGAATTCATCCAGGAGATGTGCTTTGTTGCTTAGGCTATAGCAAACATTTGTCAGTCACATGACCAAAATTCCAATTCGCGGGTGGGCCCTGTATAATCTTGAAGATTGAGGGTTTCGATTTGTCTCGATGCATTGTGTGTCCACAGTCAACATGTGAAAGAGCCTTTCCGGGTATGCAGTGTCGGATCAGGTAGTCAAGTTCTATTTTTTCCTTTGTTTCAGGCAGGACTGGGTTGATCCAGGGGGGTTGGAAATTGTGAACATTGTCCTACCATGTCCTAACAACCGTCGCCACCTGTGCCTGTGACATCTTATTGCACCACTGAGAGCCACTATATAAATGTTCTTGCACACCAACAGAACGCCATTACATGAGCTTGTTTGAACCTGATGTGCAAGTGCTGGAGATGTACTGTTTCAGGTGGTGGTTGATGAATTCGAATTCTTTGGCCTGCGCTACAGTGGTGTGGTGCTTTGGTCTTGCGACTGCTTGGTGCAAGCCGTGCTAGTCATGAAATACACGAACTGGAAACCCACCAAGTTGCTGATCGGATCGGCGATGACCGGGATGCCAGAGGATGGGGGAATGCATGGGAATCCTTATCCGCCTGGGATTTTGCAGGACTAGATAAATAGGCAAGGAGTATGATAAATATGAACCTATATAGGTAGTCTCGCTTTCAAAGGTCCAACTGGAGTGTCCGACATGAGTTCTTGAACTTGCGCAGCTGTGCGGCAAAAGGGCCCTGGTGTTGAGCAAGGTTTTTGTTCAGCAGGCTCTTGGTTTAGAACCTGCGCCAGGTGAAAGGTGTGAGAATGTTGTTGGGAAAGGATGTCATTGAATTTTGTTCCAAACAATGCCTGATTTCTCCAAAATTGAAGAACTGGAAAGCCCCACAAGGCAACTTCTTCCAATAATGAGCACCAAATGTTGTAGCGGGGACGAGGAAGGAAGGAAAGACAAAGGAGGTGGTGGAGGATCAAGAAGTAAAACAAAGTTGTGTGTGACAAAGTTGTCTGTGAAAGATGGTGTGACAAAAAAAGATGGTGAAGGTGGATGTCGCCAAGTGCCACGCCTGCCATGCAAAGTGCCGCGGCGTCACCGGCGATGAATGGAGACCAAGCGCGCCACCAAGTGCAACCTGTAGCACGCCTGCCACGCAAAACGAAGGTGGATGCAAAGTGCCGCGGCGTCACCGGCGATGAATGGAGACCAAGCGCGCCACCAAGTGCAACCTGTAGCACGCCTGCCACGCAAAACGAAGGTGGATGTCGCCAAGTGCCACGCCTGCCATGCAAAGTGCCGCGGTGTCACCGGCGATGAATGGAGACCAAGCGCGCCACCAAGTGCAACCTGTAGCACGCCTGCCACGCAAAACGAAGGTGGATGTCGCCAAGTGCCACGCCTGCCACGCAAAGTGTCGCTGGTCAAAGTTGTGTGTGAAAGATGATGTGTGACAAAGTTGTTGTGTGACAAAGGTGTGTGTGAAAGATAATGTGTGACTAAGACCTGTAGCACGCCTGCCACGCAAAACGAAGGTGGATGTCACCAATTGCCACGCCTGCCGCGCAAAACGAAGGTGGGTGTCGCCAAGTGCCACGCCTGCCACGCAAAAATAAGGTGGATGTCGCCAAGTGCCACGCCTGCCACGCAAAGTGCCGTTGGTCAACGTTGTGTGTGAAAGATGATTTGTGACAAAGTTGTTGTGTGACAAAGGTGTGTGTGAAAGATGATGTGTGACAAAGTTGTTGTGTGACAAAGGTGTGCATGAAAGATTGTGTGTGACTAAGTTGTGTGTGGAAGAGGATGCGTGACAAAGTTGTGTGTGAAAGATGATGTGTGACGAAGTTGTGTGTGAAAGATGATGTGTGACAAAGTTGTGCGTGATAGATGATGTGTGACGAGGTTGTGTGGGGAATTACATCGTGCCAGCTTGAGCGCGGCCTCACAAGCAGTCGTTGAACAATGTGCGGTAGCATCAACCCTTTGCTCAGGTTCCAAGAGTGTGAGCATCGCCCCATCCGATGCCGTACAAAAAGAAAGCAAAACGCGGGCGCGAGATAAAGTTTTCATGTCTCGAAAGGAGCATCAGTTAACCCCTCGACAACAGATCCTGATTTCAACGTTGCCTTACAACCCCCACACATGCTGGAGGACCGGAGCAATGGGTTGCTTCTTCCTGGGCAATTGTCATGATCATTCGTGATCCCATCGTTAAGGCCTTGTTTCTTAGCTACCCCGTCTCCCCGAAAATGGTTGGATGACCATCCTTTAAACTTTGTAACGAACAAAAAATTTGACCATGGCTCGTGCAAGGACTCAAGATTCCTCTGCGGTCTTTCACATGGACCCAGCAAGACTCGGCCATCCTTAGTTGATTGTGTCCTATCACTCCTAGCAAGTCGTTCAATCTATAAAGCAGGTTTTCGTCCTGATGCGTCACAAAAAAATGAATCCGGCTGCTTGGAAGTCACAGCCAATCACCCATGAAGTAGAAACCGATCCTCAGGTTGATGTTTGCCATTCCCAACACCATCGGAACTTACGAGCCCGTGCTGCTGCGGGGGTCTGCATCTCGAGCATTTCTTTCGACTCCAGCTGCGCTGCATGTGCGGGGCACATGTGGAAGTGGAAAAACCATCTGGGATGGGGTCAAAACTTGTTTGGGTCAAAACTTGTTTCCTGAAAAAAATGTGGGTTGATGAACACCCAACGTACAGGAGTTATTTTGATGTTCCCCAGACAATTCCACGGTTTTGAGCCATCTAAGCGGACTGGGCAATCACTGATTTCATGGCAGATGTTCCACCCAAGAAAGTTACCTATCTAGAAGGGTTGTGAAATGCCTTAAGCCTACTCCTAAGGAATAAAAAATAAAAAACGAAAACCAATGCAAAAAAAGCAAACCACTTTTTGAAAAAAACAAAACCAAAAGCAAAAAAACAAACAACTATTTTGAAAAAGCAAAAGCAAAGCAAAAACAAACCGGATATACATTTATATGCGCTTGTTTTTTTTTCCGTTTTTTTTCCGGATTTTTTTCGCACTTTGTTTCGTTTTTTTTGCTTTATGTTTTTTAATTTTCGATTGTTTTCTCGTGTTTTTTCTGTCTCAGGTGACCTGATGACCGGGACCGTCGAAAATGTAAAAAAATGTGGAAAAAACGAAAAACAACGGAACAAAAGCGAAAACAAAGCGGAATAAAAACGAAAAAAACGAACAAAAAGTGAAAAAAATGAGAGAATAACGGAAAAAAACGAAACAAGACCGAAAAAAAAACGAACACAAATAATTGTTGTTGTTTTTTTGTTTTTTTTCTAATTGAGGTTTGGATTTGGTTTTGTTTCTATTTTGAATTCGTTTTGTTTTTTATTTCATTTTATTTTTCTATCGTTTTATAGAAATTGCCTGTAAGCCGTGTCACAATAGAAGGGTCAGTTGATGCGTGCTGACAAGAGATTGCTTGTGCTTCTCGGACATGACGCAATGGCCACAATGTTGGGGAACTGAGGGCTTCTTGGGACCCACTAAGTATAGCGACGCAAGTCCCCTGAATGAGTTTCTTAAGTTGGAGATTACATGATGTCATGCTTCTGCTGGGCGGACCTGTGAGGTCAGAACGATGCAGCCTCCACTTGATAGGATAGGTACACATTGATCATCATGCCACAACATCCCTCGGTTGGGCACGCTTTTTCATACAATATGTACGTTAAGGATTGTGGTTGCCGTGAGCTGGTTTGTGCCCACTCTTCTTTCTTCCCACTATCAAACGTATTCCTCAGGCGGCAACGTTGGTACGTTTTTCGGTGGATGATTGAATTCTCCATTCGCAGAGCATAACATGATAATAAAGCATGATACGATTCAATTCACAAACAGTTGTGTTTTAGTGAAACATGACATGATCACAAAAATCCACATCCCTATTCAACTTGTCATTTTGTTTGGCTCGCAGCCTGGCAGGTGCTGACACATTTGGGCGAACTTGTCTTGGTTTTAGTCTACCTCTTTCACTTTAGGGCTTCGGATGTCTACAAGCTTTGGGAATCTCATGCTCTTTGGCTGGAAAAATCTATGGCCAGAATGGGTTGGGAGGACCCGATGGGATCCAAGGTTTTGGCACGTTTTCCCCATGTCGCTTCAAATTATGCTTTTCCTTGGGAAAGTTAGGTGCAATTTCGTATCATCCCCACCATTCTAAGCTGTGATTCCACATTTTCACTGGGAAAATGCCTGTTGAGTCACTCATCGTTCTCATGGGGCCATGTTCGAGGACATTTTTTGAATTTTTGGCACAATAAAAATATGACCATGATCAAGTTCCCCCTTGTGAAGTGACATGGCATCGTTCTCTCGCACATGTCAAGCAAAGATCGTTCTCATGAAAGGCAATCTTTCTCACTGAAGAGCAATCATTCTCACCAGAAATTTCCCTGTGGAAATTGCAAAACAGTTTTTCACCAAAAAAAGTGAGAAGAAGGATTTTTGAGAAGAATGGGTAGGCATTCTTTCCGCACTATCATTCTTCTTAAAATCATCGTTCTTCTTGAAAACATGTGTGCAAGAATGGACAAACAGAAAACCAGCAGTCAGTGTTGAGGAGTTGACAGCTGGGGTCGGAGGATGGCAACTATGGGCTGGTGGAAAAAGGGGAATCTCTGCAGTTCCTTTGGGCAAGGTCAGTATCCTGTGAGTAAGACTGGTGAACGCATCTGACACCATAAGACTCTGGATCTCCATGTTTGATCCAAAAAGCAGAAGTTGAAACAGCTCTTCGGAAAGGGCAGGGTTGGATTAGAACCATAAATGATTTTGCTGACCCGAGCCTTCAATGCACATGGCGATCTATTTCAGATGCGTCAAATCTTGTTCTGGTGGCCAACGTTGATTTGCTGTGAAGGGGTCGACTTTCTGAATGTACATTGGACATGGTTCCACGGCTGTACTGATTGATTGTCCACTGCCCCAGGCTTGGACACGCTTTGTCCTAAGATATTACGCAGTCTGCAACGTTGCCAGGCTGTTCGGGGTTGGTTTGGAGCGTTCTTGCGCGCTTAACTCATGCATCCTAGCTCCGTGCCCAATGCAAACTAGACCATGAGGAACGAATCCATGAAGTATGTTTCAAGCAACGTTTGACAGTTTGACCCCCTTCTGACATGTCCATGTGCATTTCGACTGCGCAGGCTTGCACGAAACGGGGTCCGCGGAATGAGCGTCCCGCATGTTACCTGTAAATTTCCGTACAGAATGGCTCTTGTGACATGTCCGTGTGCATTTCGACTGCGCAGGCTCGCACAAAACGAGAAATCTCGCACAGACATCTCGCCAAGAGACCCCTTATAGGGAGCTTGTGCAGAGATCTTGCCAAGGTCTTATGGTGATCTTGTTCAGAGATCTTGCTAAGAGACCTCGTACAGAGGTCTTGCCAACAGAGCTCTTGTAAAGTTCTTGTGGAGAGATCTTGTACAGAGACCTGGTGAAGAGAGCAGCGGTCTTGTTCAGAGATCTTTTAAAGAGAGCTTGAACAGAGATCTTACTTTGAGATCCCTCACAGAGATCTTCTATGGATATCTCTTATAGAGAGATCTCTTCAAGAGTCTTTCCAAGAGACCTCTTTTAAAGATCTTGTGCAGAGATCTTGCCAGGACACCTCTTATGGAGATCTTGTACAGAGACATTGCATAGAGATCTGTCGCAGAGATCTTGCCAAGAGGTCTCTTACATAAATCTTGCCAAGAGAACCCTTCTAGAGAGCTTGTACGGAGATCTCATAAAGAGATCTTGCCAAGAGATCTCTTATAGATACCTTGTCCAGAGGTCTTGCCAAGAGACCTCCTATAGAGATCTGTGTAGAGATCCTGTACAGAGATCTTGCCAGGAGACCTCTTTTGGAGATCTTGTACAGAGACCCTCGGAGATCATTTGTAGATAGCTTGAACAGAGATCTTATTTTGAGGCCCTTACAAAGATCTTCTGTGGAGATCTCCTATAGGCACCTGGTGCAGATAGCCTTACACAGGGATTTTGCACAGCAGCTTCTACAGGAACAGTCAAGGAGATCTTGCGCACGATCTTCCACAGAGATCTTCACAGAGGGAACTTGCAGAATCTGACCTGGTATCTCTTCTTTTCACTACTAGGGTCGCTCTTGTCCTGCTAGCTCCCTTTAGAACCTTCACTACACACTCTTTGGGGTCTCTTGCGGGGATTATTGACTAATTGTTGATACTTTTACATGCATTCTTGCTTGTTTGGAACTTACCTATTGTGTCAGTACCATGTAGGGTTAAAAGTCAACTACTTGGCATGCAATTGTTATGGAAAAAAGTTTTCTTTGCCGCTGCATGGCGACGGTGTTTCTGTACATGTGTGCGTGCAGTTTTTTCAGCACTATGAGTTTGTAGGAATGCATGCCGAGATCACACTTGTTACTCTATGTTGCTCTTTGCCGTTCACAAACACGTTGGATAAGCTTGATTTTGGTTGCTTTCAATGCTTTCCAGCAGACAAGTGCCCCGCATGTGCCACCTCGTCCTCTTTTGCCAGGTATATCCTTTTCTTCTTCCTGCAACGGTATTGCGCCTGTCGTGTTGATGACGTCGCACCCTGTGTGCGGGATATCCTCACGGAGAAGGCGAAGGAAAACGCCGATGATGTGGATTTAGACATTCCACTGGACATCGCCATGGCTGCGTTGAGCCCTGGCAGTGGCACAGGTGCCTTCATGTGGAAGGGGGTATTTGTTCAACTGCAGTGACCGGCAGAGATATGCTTGCGCAACACATCAGCATAGGGCTTTGGTTCCAGATGGCAATCCAAAGGGGATGACGTAAAATCCACCCAGCATCCAAGGTCTTGATGCTGAGAAGTTTTGCAAAGAAATTGCAGCAATTGCACTGAAGTCTTCCTATGTGGCCGGCATTATGTGTCAAGTAGTCACTGGCCTGGCTGGCTTGGCATTTTTGATTTTGTTTTTTGTTCTATTTTGTTCCAAAGGCCCTTCTGGGTGGCCTGGGATCTGACACAGGTTGCCCGCAGGGAGGTGCATCGGATCAATGAAAATGCGGAGAGCAGCATGATCAGGGCTGGGAAAGCGGTATTGGATGCGATGCAGCAGCATGCTATGGTTCCGGAGGTCCAAAAGGCAGGAAGCCGGGCACTCTTCCAACTGGCATCTGGCAGTGCGTCCAACAAAAAGAACTTGTATCAAAAGGATGCTGTCAACATATTGCTGAAGAGTGTGGAGAATCACCGCGAAGCCGCTCGGAGTTCTGAGGGGATTGCCAAGAAAAAGGTTTTACACCTGATTTCACCATCTGCATTTTGGCAACAGTTTCATTGTGTTTATAACGGCTAGCGCCCCGGTACAGCCGACCCGTCTTGTCAGGGGCGAGGCACTGCCAGGCTACCTAGCAGATCCTATTTGGTGATTTCTGGCGGGCCTTATCGACATCATCATGTAAATCCAGCTTCTCTCCCAGCAGCGGCGAAGCCTGAGTCACTGAGCGAACAATTTCCGTTGTAAGCTGGTTTGGAACCGGCCGCGCAGTTCAGGGAAAAGTGAGCTCCCACTGTGTGAGGCGATAGGGTGCTTTGAGGAGCAATCATAGATTACCATGTTTCCGCGGGATCCGCGATTTGCAAACTGTAGCCCCGCCTGACTTCCTGTTGGGGTTGCTGCAGTGCCGGCAGGACCAAGAGCCCCAAACGGCAATTTCAAAACCCGGATGAACTTGGAGGCGTCTGGGCGGAGGAAGCAAAGTGCTTAGCCGCACTTTGAAACTTAAGATTTAAATCCATTTCGAGGCCTCTGGCAGTTACAGGTTCGAAGCCCTTTTTATCAAAGATGAACTCGGCGAATGAGCCTCTGGGGCTGACTTGGAGGCCTGGGCTTGTGGTCCCTGGCCGCGCATGTCGCTTGCGCTCCGACAGACCAAGCACCAAGAGTGCCCAACAGCAGTTTCGAAACCCTTGAAAGATTTTTAATGCTTGCCGCAGGCTGGCTTGCAGGCGCAAGTTTCGAAACCCTTAAGGCCTGATCTCGAGACCAACTTTCCAGGTTAATCTTTTAATGCGGTTCTGCCGCGCCCTGAGCTCAAGCCTCCAAGTCAGCTCCCGCGAGCTGCCTTTAGCATTTTGGTTCTGCCAGTCTGCCCTCGGTTTGGGCTTGTGCCGCCAGCACACTCAAGAATGTCTAACAATAGGTGCGAAATCCTTGAAAGCAGGCCTTGCACAACGAAGGGCAGAACATATTTTTGCTGTTGTAGGACCTGAATATCAAGTATCGACATCCTTGGCCTATGTTGGCAAAGCTTTCGGTGATCCTCGGCGCCGCCCCGCCTTCAGGGGCCAGCGGATAGATTGGAGGGAGTTTGATCAACGATATTCTTGAGATCATTTGAAGTTTGTGAAGGATTGACCATAGCAAGGCAGAAAAGGGTTTACTAGGCTTTGTTAGGACACCAGGTCCACAGGGGTTTTCAGAAAATTGGTGTCCTGGGCCTTGATGGTGGGCTCGGTGATTTGCGCTAGGTTGAGCAAGGTGGAACATTCAACGGCCAGTATGTAAGGTGTGGCAAAAGCAAACCACCAATTTATAGTATATTTAGCATAAATCCGCTTTTTCAGGCCCTATTTCAGGGGGAACCATACCAACATGAACGATACATTTTTTGGTGTCCCCCCTTCCCTCTTTCTTGAGTGTAAAATTGGTCGCCAAATGTCCCCCTATGTGTCGTTTTTTTGGACCCCTTCCAAAACACCTTGAAACATGTATCCTATATGTGGGTGTGGTCCCCTCACCTTAAAAGGGCCGTGATTCTATACCTGTATTACAAATAGAATTTGCACATGACAATACATCTTATTTATAATTTTTAATGTATGCATGTTTTTGCATGTGATGTATGTCTGTCACCTGCGCCATTCGGGCATGGCTGTAGCTTTGCCCGCAAAACCATAAGTTTTCCATGGCCCACATACTTCCAAAATAAGGAGCATCCCAGGGTGATTTGGTCCGTGTCAGGACCGAAATTTGCGGAGCGCTGTGTTGTTCGCCTTAGACGTCTTAGCTGGAGACGAGGAGATCCGACGTCACTTGGCCGAGCTGGCCCTACAGGGGGCGAGAGTTGGACCACAGGAGTCATGGGGATCTTCCGTTTTTTCAGGTTGGCTATTGGTATCACTGCTGACCCCGTAGATGCACCCACAAAAATGACAAAGGACCATAGCTCAACCCCTGGAGGATCTCTTGACATGGGTGCTTGAAAGCCTTGGCAAGGGCTCTGGCCCTCGCAGTGATGAGTGTCGCAAGGCTGGGTATTGTAGTTCGCGACCGCTCAAACCATTTTGATAATATGGACCTACACTCCCGTTTGTCTAAGCACTATAGAAAGATATCAGGAACAGAACGATGAAGAAATCGCTACCCACCAGCTATTGCAACTACAACTGGTTTCCATGTCGTTTTTCACAACAAATATTCAAAGCTTGAGCTGACTGTTTGGATCCATGGTGGAACATCATGAACATGTTGGCAAGGCTGAGAGGGGATGGGAAATTCAAAAGACTTGTGTGCTGCTTTGCGGAAGTGACGGGGTCTGACTGATCCTTAGGCAGCTTAACATTCGCGAGCCTGAACGGGTCACAAGTCAGCCTAAAATATGGCCAAGAAGCGCAAACCACACACGCAGACGGCAAACGAGTTTTTTGATTTCTTTCAAGTATCGCCGTGAAGACTGAGCAGCATCATACCTGGGCCATGGGGGCTCTATTTTTGCATTGCAGTAGGACAGATTGCTGCAGTTTGCAGCCTGCGGATTCATTGGGCAGATTGCATTTAACGATGAGAAGATGCAGCTGAAGTTGATAGAGGTGCGGCTGCCAACTGACGGAATGGAGCCGCCAGTGTATGGAAACACCCAAGAAAAAATGGGCCCAAATGTTCAACCATTTGGAACCTTGAAACTTCATACTTGATTTGCATGTGATGTATTGTATAGTTTCGCAAGTAATGTCAACATCGTATTAATAACCCCCCCTCCCCCCCAAACATTAAGAGCATCAGAATAAAGTTAGGGCCAAACATTCAACTATCGTAAAAATCACCTATGTATTCCCAAATGAATTGCCTAATTGAAAACGAATACATAAGGGAACTTTCCAACAAATAAAAATAAAATCACCTATGTATTCCCAAATGAATTGCCTAATTGAAAACGAATACATAAGAGAACTTTCCCCCCCCAAAAAAAAACACGTATGTATTCCCAAATGAATTGCCTAATTGAAAACGATTACATAAAAGGAACTTTCAAAAAAAAGAGCACCTATGTATTCCCAAATGAATTGCCTAATTGAAAACAATTACATAAAGGGAACTTTCCAAAAAAACAAAGAATCACCTATGTATTCCCAAATGAATTGCCTAATTGAAAACGAATACATACAGTGAACTTTCTTGGAACTTTAGTATTCACAAATGAATTGCCTAATTGAAAACGAATACATAAAGTGAACTTTCTTGGAACTTTAGTATTCACAAATGAATTGCCTAATTGAAAACGAATGCATAAAGTGAACTTTCTTGGAACTTTTAGTATTCACAAACATACATAAAGTGAACTTTCTTGAAAGGGTTTAGTAAGGAAAGGGTTTAGTAAGGAAAGGGTTTAGTAAGGAAATCGACCATTTGAGCCTTGTTGATTTTTTTGCACTCCAGAACTTTTCAGGCAAGATTTGGAGTTTGGAGTTTACTGCTTCCAGCTCAAAGAGTCTTGAGGGCTTCAGAAAGGGTTTGAGAAAGGGTTCAGCTAGGAAAGGAATTGAGAAACAAATTTAATTAACCACCAAAATTTTAGAACCCTGAAATCCAAATACTTTATTTAGGGGTGTGCAAACATACATTATTATTTTGATGTCAGGGGACTTCAAGGCTACCCCCTTTGCGTGATTGTTTTTTGGCATTTTTTGAAAGGGTTTAGTAAGGAAATCGACCATTTGAGCCTTGTTGATTTTTTTGCACTCCAGAACTTTTCCAAAAAAACAAATCACCTATGTATTCCCAAATGAATTGCCTAATTGAAAACGAATACATAAGGGAACTTTCCCCCCCCCAAAAAAAACACGTATGTATTCCCAAATGAATTGCCTAATTGAAAACGATTACATAAAAGGAACTTTCAAAAAAAAGAGCACCTATGTATTCCCAAATGAATTGCCTAATTGAAAACAATTACATAAGGGAACTTTCCAAAAAAGAAAAATAAAATCATCTATGTATTCCCAAATGAATTGCCTAATTGAAAACGCATACATAAGGGAACTTTCCCTCCAAAAAAAAATAACCTATGTATTCCCAAATGAATTGCCTAATTGAAAACGAATACATAAGGGAACTTTCCCTCCAAAAAAAAACACCTATGTATTCCCAAATGAACTGCCTAATTGAAAACGAATACTAAAGGGAAAAAACGGGAAAAAACGGGGAAAAAAAAGTTGGCGTACTTTATTGTGGGGGGGTTTTATTGTTGTGAACCGGGAGTTGGCGTACTTTATTGCGGGGGGTTTATTAACGCCATGTGAACATTACAAAAATTTTAATGCGATAAAAACAAATTGCACGTGTACATACAAGAACAAATGCATGTACTGGCCAGTACCAAAACATATATACACATAATTACACATATGCACCGAGAAAACGCCTCATAACATACAAAGGAAATTTTGGAAAAAAACTTCTGTGCATAACCACAACAAACCATTATCTCACAACTCACTGTAACAAAAAACAATTTTCTCGCAATCACTAGCACAAGAACCAATATCTCACAAGTCACTACCACAACAAAACATTTTCTCACAATTCACTGCCACAGCAAACCGCGCGGCTCACTACCACGACATAACACAATCACACAACTGACTACCACCAAATAACTCACCACCACAACAAATCACGATCTCAAAAGTCACTACACCGCAACAATTCACTATCCCACAACTCACTTCCGCAACAATCCAGGATCACCACTTACTAACGCAACAAGCCACTATCTTACCGCCCACAACCACAACCAACCACGATCCAACGACTGACTACCACAGCAAACGATTATTTGGTGACCTCAGCATGCCATCCAACCGCCAGGCTGGCGCTTTAGTTCTTTTGCTGCAGAGCATGAGAAAACATCGGGAGGACAGAGATGTGCAGCGCGCAGCCTGCCTGGCGCTCCGTAGATTGAGTCCTCTGAGGGTTCAAAGGTGGGGCCGCTGGGCCTTTGTGGCGTGACCCTTTGTGGAGTATGCAAAGTAATTTGAAGTTCCCTTGCGTAACTTGCACCCGGCTTATGTCACTTCATTTTCCCAAGGGTTTGCGACGGAAATTGTCTGACTAGCCACGCGTATCGGGAGACGGTCAGCAGTCTGGATGTCAAAACATGGCCTGGTTTCAGTTGGATGCACGCACCAGCTAATGTTAGATTCACATGACACATTGAGGTCAATTTTCCAAGAACCCCTGGGCATGTCCACAAAATGCCAGCACCCGCTCCCACCCACATTTTCTTTAGCGAAGAAAACGTAATATGCCCAAATTGTTTCTCAATGTCTTTTGGAGACGGTGTGACCATGCTGCGAGGGTTGTGACGGTGATGGGAGTCAATGGTTCTGGTCGGGCTTTG